TGCTCTCAATCAGATTGTTTTGAATTTTCAGTCTTTTTTTTTGGCTGAACTAGTTCTCTGATCGGAGCTGAGCGCTTTCATTTTGTATTAGTGTCAATGCCGAATTGATTTTTTCTTTAGTTAATTTTCTATAGTATGATGGGAACAAATGGTACAAAATAAGCAGATGAAGAATACTTTGGATTAATAGAGCTTAGTTGTTCATTGAGACGTATAAATGGCAATTAAGTAATACTTTGAATTACTTTCAGAGTCCTTTCCTTTGTTGTACATTGATGATTCTAACATTGTGATTTTTTAAATAAATTTTCTGATTACTCTATTGAAAGAATTTGACAGTTAAAAAGAATTCGACTTTCACTCTCTTATCTTCTTAATAGAAAAGGAAACTTGTTATTTTTGCATCTCAAATATTGACATTCTTTACCCATCAAACCTTGATAGCACTAAATATAGGAGTTGGATGATAATATCTAGTGAGAAATGTTAAGTTTCTGCAAGCACAGCAGTTGCATTTAATGCATCCATCGACTATTTGGATCATACTTATGTGCAGGTTAGGACTGGTAATAATTACTTAAATGACACTATTAACAATTTAATACTTGAATTGAATGAAGAAAATTACTAAACTCAAAAGCATCCTCTGCCAAAAAGCTTGGCGATGGAGAGGGCGAAGGGTTAAAACAAGAAAGACATCCCTCAGCCTAACAAACTCAAAAGCATCCTCAGCCACAAGTCCTGCAAACAACTCAAATAAAATGAAATTTTGAATTTAGGGATATCGGCTTGATCTACAAAGCCCTTTGCTTTAGCATCTCAACATCTTTGCCATACAACAGACATATCCCACACTTTTCTACCGGAAGGGGTCTGTAGCCATCATAATCCATTACGGTGAAGTCAACGTTGACCTCAATAACAAGTTTGTAAAACGCAGTGGGGCTTTGAGCTCCCTTTACAACTCCTTCAAAGACATTATTATACCACCACACAAACACCTCGTGTGAATCTTCGTCAACAAAGGTTAGTTTATGTCTTTGTGAAGCATAATACAAAGGATCATAGACTTTATGGCTTTCACCATTACTAGTTTTGAAGTTGTACTTGCAGAGAATATCAGTGCTAAACCAATCACGAGGAAGCTTAATCTTTATTGAACATCCCTCACTTTTATGGCTGAACCATTTTGGAATTTCATTCCCAGAACATGTAATGGCAACGAAAGATTCCTGTACCATGGATATGGACATCATAGTTATTAAACTCATGAAGAAAAAAAAGAGCCACTTCTTCAACAGAAGTGAGTTAGAGAGAGGGAGAGCGAGAGAGAGAGAGAGAGAGAGACCTCATTTGAATCATATGATGCTTCTTCAATTTTGTCTTCTTTAAACTTTGACCACGCAGTTGCCATTCGCATAATTCTGAGCTATGCATAATCCATTATGTTGCTTCGTGCATTCTCATCTGGCCGCCATTTTTGGCAATCAAGGTATAGAATCTCATCTATTCTTCGAGCTTTAGCTGATGGTTGGGTAGGATTTGAGAAATTTCTAGCATAGGTGGGTTAATTTTGGATTTAGGGTTTGGCCGGTTTTGGAAGCTCGATTCCGGCCACTTCCGCTTGTTTTTCGGGATAGGTCTAAGAACAAAAGTGTCTCCAAATAAGGTTTTACACCTAGGGTAGGAATCTTGGCCGGCGGTTTGGAGTATTTCCGGCCGCTGGAAATTGATCTACGCACCCACTCGCGGCCGGCGCGTGGGCAAAGTGTTGGGGGCCACATTCTATCCTAGAATGATCCTTTGGCCCTCACTAGCACATAGGTACTTTCGGATTCCAATTTGGTTAACGTTTGAACCCCGAACAAATCTCGCCTATTGTGCGATTTCCGGGTTCGATAAGTTCGAACCGTTGGATCATAGTCAATTTCATATATGATGATCTAGACAATTCTAGGATTGTGTAGGATTCTACGGATTGTGAATCGGAGCCTTGGATACTCCAAAAATGCCAACCCTAGGGTTAGGTTTACAGTAACCGCCCGATTGTGCAATCGTGAGCAATCTGATCGTCCGATCGAAACTGAACTCTCGGGACATGTGTCCTAAGCATATTGGAACCTTTAGGAATTCTCGGATCGGAATTTGGAGGTCATGGACCCCACGGGGTCCCGGAGTGACTTTTTGGGACTTTATCGGTTTTTGAGTCCCATATCTTTTCTAGACCATTCTAAACATGAGAAAAGTTTATGTGGGCATAGGAATGACCTTAAAGTTAATGCAAGCACTTTTAGGAGCCGAGGGTCAAGGATTTTAATTAAAGATTATATTGAGAATTTTTACTAATAAAATATTATGATGGTTTAATCAGGCACCCAGGCACAGGCAGACTAGCAGGAGGGACCTTCGAAAGGTCCAGCTAGCTCGGACCAGCAATGAGCGGACTTTTGTTTTCATAAATGAATTTATGCAATTTAATTTCATTATTTGATCTTAAATAAGTATTAAATAGCTTGAGTTTTTCTAGTATATTTTGCTGAGGTTAAATGTTTTATTTATATGCTACCAAGTTGAGAACGCTTAAAGAACATCGAAAATAAGAATTTTAGAGAACTATCAAATGGGATGGTAGCAGAGTTTTAAGATAAAAAAGAATTTGTTTTATTTATTACAGACCTTCCAGAAATATATATTTTCTTAAAACCACCCTAGGTACCCAAATATAATAAATGTTGCCTTCGGTATTTCTGTTGCCTTCAGATAAATTGGTTGCCTTCGGTTAGGTCAGCATGCTTGACTTTGCACCACAAGTCCTAGGGGTAATTGGACCGTGCGTTGCGAGGAATGCGGATAAGGCTGACTAAATGTCCCCTGAATCCTGTGAGGATTGCGGCTCGGGTTGACTTTATGTTACCAAGACATGCGAGGACGTGTCACAAATGTGACACGAGGAATTGACGATTAATTGTGGGATTAAACGGAAATAAAGGAATTGACAGAAATAAAATGGGTATGCCTAGGTGGTAGACTAAATTCCATTTTCAATGTCTTCAGCGAAAGGATGTTTTGAATAAGTGTGTAAATGGTTATCTAAATATAGATATGAATGCGTGATTTCTATACAAATATAGATAAAGAACTTGTTTAAGTTTTTGCAACTGTTTTTACAGTGGGGTTAGTACGTTCATAGTTAGTTTCAAAACTTTATTTTTGGTCCACTCACGTTTTTCAATGTTTTGCGCCCCCAGGCAGTAGGCGTGCACCAGTGCGCCACCACCGGGCAGTTTTCACCTTCTGTCTCATCTTTTGCAGATGTAGGGTTATGTATAATTGAATTATACCTGTAAATTAATTTGTTTAGTTGCTCTGGTGTTGCCCTAATTTAACTGTTGGAATGTAAATGCATGCATGCTGGCAGTTGGGAATATAAATATATGTTTGTTTGACAGGTGTAAACTTGGGAAATAATCAAATTACAAGGGAGACTGCCGAATTTTCGGCAGAAGTCAAGCCTAAAATAATAAGAGAATTTGAACAGAAGAGCAATTTAGTCATTTGTGCCCGGCATCTGCCAGGTGTCGGACACACACAGGGTTCGGCTCGGATTCCCAAGTGGAATTTGGGTTGGGTCCTGTCATCGTTGGACTCTTGAAATTGGTCCGAGTATGTGGGAATAAGCAAATATATGCATAGGTATCGAATCTCAAATGGAATTGAGTTTTTATTTTTATTTTTTATTTTTACAATTAGTTTTGGTACATGGGATGGGATGGGAGGAGACTTAAAATTGAAGCAACCATTAATATCATAGGATGAGCAATTCGTTGAATTGTCTACTGTTCCTTTCCTACTTGCTTTACAGTGTTGTGAACTTGTCATATGGACTTGCTTCTGTTTTCTTTCTTCTCAGCAATAAGTTGTGTGCTTATGTTTGTTCTTGTCCAATCAAGAAACTGAATCTAGAAAGTTGTTGAGAGATTCTTGTATACATACTCCATTTGAAGTTTGTCGGCCATTATGAAATCTATTTTATTCGTTGCAGAAACGATTACCAGACTTGGTAATGTATCCAGAATTTTTATGTTTAGGTTGATTGGGAAGGGAAATTTGCTCTTATACAATGTGACAAGCATCCTGAAATTCCACTTATGGAGATCATCAAGTATTGCACTGAAAAGTTTCTCCAGGATTCTGGACTCAATCACGTTATAATTCGTCCATGTGGATTCATGCAAGTAAGCGTCACCCAAACTGAACTTTGGACTTCGTCTTTTATGATCTTGTTACTGGCATAACCAATATCTTCTTGTTACTGACCCAGAAATTCCATGATAAGCCAAACTTTCATTGACTTTGTTTTTGCACTAATTGAGAGGCCATTGCTCCAAAGTGATGTTGACCAAGAGGCCAACGTATTTAACCTTATTATAGATCTGAGTTTCCAAAAATATCTACTCTTCTATTTCCAGTCTGATAATATCTGTTGGGAAATTTTAAGTTTCTGCCAGCACAGCAGTTGCATTTTATGCATCCATCGACTATTTGTCCTAGTCCTTCGTTGTACATTGATGATTCTAACATTTAGATTTTTTTAAATAAATTTTTTGATTACTCTATCAGAAGAGTTTGACAGTAAACAAGAATTCGACTTTCACTCTCCTATCCTCTCAATATAAACAAGAATTCAACAGTTAATTTTCATCTCAAATCTTGATAGCACTAAATATAGGAGTTGGATTGGATCATACTTACTTATGTATAGTTTAGGACTGATGATAATTACTTGAATGACACTATTAACAATTTAATACTTGAATTGAATGAAGAAAATTACTAAAAAGCATCCTCAGCCAAAAAGCTTGGCGATGGAGAGGGCGAAGGGTTAAAACAAGAAAGACACCCCTAAGCCTAACAAACTCAAAAGCATCCTCAGCCACAAGGCTTCCAAAACAAACAGCTCAAATAAAAAGTAATTTTGAATTTAGGGATATCGGCTTGATCTACAAAGCCCTCTGCTTTATCATCTCAACATCTTTGCCATACAACATACATATCCTACACTTTTCCACCTTCAAAAAGAGTTTGGGGCCATACCAACCCCATACGGTGAAGTGAACATTGACCTCCGTAACAAGTTTGTAAAACGCAGCGGGGCATTGAGCTCCCTTTACAACTTCTTCAAAGACATTACTATACCACCACCTAAACAGCTCATGTGAATCTCTACTTCTACAGGAAGTTTGCAGTCTACACAAAGAATGGTTGACTTCATGGCTTTCACCATAACTAGTTTTGAAGTTGTACTTGCATTCAATGCTATGAATCCCAAGAGCAGCGCCTGCAACAACAAGAGATAGAGCGAAACCCAAGAAATCTGTGCTAAACCAATCAGGAGGAAGCTCAATCTTTATTGAACATCCCTCACTTTTATGGCTGAACCAATTTGGAATTTCATTCCCAAAACATCTAATGGCAACAAAAGATCTCTTGCGTAAAAATTCCTGTACCATGGATATGGACATCATAGTTATTAAACTCATGAAAAACAAAGAGCAACTTCTTCAACAGAAGTGAATTATATATATATATATATATATAGAGAGAGAGAGAGAGAGAGAGAGAGAGAGAGAGACCTCATAATCATCATAGCTATTATCTAAACCATATGATGGTTGTTCAATTTTGTATTCTTTAAACTTTGACGATGCAGTTGCCATTCGCATAATTCTGAGTTGTGCATCACCCATTATGTTGCTTCGTGCATTCTCATCCAACTTTGGGCAAACAGAAAATATATGTTTCTCATAAAGCCCAAGATAAAATATATATTCTTCCCAACCTTGTGTGATTGCAGTGCTTGAACTTGACACTGTCTTCAGTGACGTGCAACCATTTGCTTCAAGATGTTGTAGCAATGGGGGGAACTCTGGTAAAGATTCAAGGCTCTTGCAACCGTTGAGGAACAGGAGAGACAGTTGAGTAGCTTGTTTGACGCTTGCAGGTATGCTCTTAATTTCGGTGAAACTCATATTTAACTCTTGTAATGAGGTTAAGCAAAAGAGGTCATCAGGAATTTCTTGTATGCTGCACTCAATCAGGCGTAATTTTTGAAGCGCAACTAGCTTTCTAATTGATGGGGATACCTCTTTAACCATTGTACCTGATAAATTTAGAAACTCCAGATGTTTCATAACCTCCGAGATTTCTGGGAAGTGTTGAAAGTTAGAGCAACCACCGAGATCAAGGCTCTCCAGATATTTCAACTTCCAAATGTTCGTTGGGAGACTCACAAGGCTTTTGCAATCGATCAGTTTAATTGCAGTGAGACCAACAACAGACTCTATTGATGTATTCCTCAATTCTTTTATTGTTGTACTACTAAACTCTAGCACTGTTGGATCCCTGGGAAGCTCCCAAAAGTCGCAAAGAGATTCGCAGCCATATAGACTAAAAGAACTCGAGAGTTTCAGCTTACAACTGTTGCTTGGAAGACTCTTAAGGTGTTTACAATATCTAATATCTAAGTGAGATATCTTTTTGTGAGACCAAACTGATGAAGGCAATTCCTCTATTGCTGTGTAAGACAAATTTAAGAATTCAAGATTGCATGGCATCTCAGGAAGATTTTTGAGTTTGTAGCATACCGCAAGGTCAAGATACGTAAGCTTGCTATGATGTTGAAAATACGAAGGAATTTCAACCAAACTTTCACAGCCTCGCAGATTTATACGCTCAATATTTAGACTCCGAGAGAGATTTGGAACTTCAATTAGATGTTCGGAGAAAGCAAGACTAATCCGTTTTAAGTTCACAGGACTCTGTAACAAATTAAACAAGAATTAATAACTTAGCTTGTAGACGATTACTTTCTAGGCCACATGTTATACAATAACTAAAATAAGCATATATAATATACCTGGTCTTCATTCCAAAGTTGCGCTCCAACTTTGTGGGATGACATATCAAGGACAACAAGGTTTTGAGCAGAAAATTTTGATGGCAAAGATTTCAAAGGATAAGAGTCCCAGCTAAGAAATCTAAGAGAATTGGGAAGATCAAGGGAAACAATCGATGGAAGATAACAACTGACACATAGGAATCTCAGTTGATACATCTTTTTGAATTTTGCATGTTTCAACTCCAAGTGTAGGTTTTTAGTCTTAGACAAGTCAACGGATATTGCTTGAACACGTCCATCTCTCTAACAATGCAAAATATAAATGTAAATATAATATACAAAATTACATTTGTAGGAATAATCTTACTTGTTTATTGTAAATGTGAATATTACTATGTACCTCGTTATTTGTCAATACTTGATAGACATCCTCATCATTGAACAACCTACTGTTGCTCTACCCATTTCTTGCACCAAATCATGCATCTCTATCCGTGCTTCTAACTTATCTTCCCACTTTTCGCAGGAATATGAAATTGATATGAGAGACATATCAATAAGGTCATTGATTCCCACTGCCCCAAAGAAACCACAACCATCTAACATTATTTCTACATCATTCCTCCTACGGCCTTTATGAAAACATGCTATATCAAGAAATATCTCCTTCTCATTGTCATCTAATCCATCGTAACTTACTCTCAATACTTCCTGGATTTCTCCGATTGGAACTCGTTTCACTTTTTTCCATTGAACTTCCCACTCTTGTTTGCTCTTGCAATGACGGAATGAGGACCCCATAACTTTAACAGCTAATGGAATGCCCTTAATATAATCCACTACCTCTCTTGACAACTCGGGATGATCTATTGTTGGAGACTTATTTCCAAAAGCATGCGAATGAAAGAGCTCAAGAGCTTCATCCGAACCTAATCCCTCAACATTGTATATCTTCGCATGGTCAACTTTTAACTCAAGTAGGCCTTTATCTCTAGCTGTTATAATGATTCGACTTCCTTGGCAAAACCGATCATTTTCACCAACAAGATCTTCTAGTTGTTTTTCATCATTCACATCATCAAGAACAATGAGCGTCTTCGTACGCCTGAGCCTAATTAGAATATTAGGTGGTATAGACGGAGTGTCGATACTTACATCTTTTTGCTTTAATATCTCACCAACAAGTTTATTTCGCAACTGATGTAGTCCATTCGTTTGTTCGGAGTTCTCCCTGACATTTGCAAGAAAACAACAGACTTCAAATTTCGAGAAGTGCCTGTGAAATACAGCATCAGCAAGGGTGGTCTTGCCAATACCACCCATGCCCCAAATACCTACACAGCAAACACCTGGTGAATCCAAGCATAATAACGACTCAATTTTCTCAATTTTCTTTTCAATCCCAACCAGACCCTTTAAATCACTTGACGATTCGCGATTCAATTTGTTCAAAACATCTTGAACAACTTTCTCAACAAAATCGGCCTCTGTCGTCCTGGCAAATATCGTTATGAAAGACAAACAATAGTATGAGTAGAGTATGAATCAAATAATAAAAAGTAGAAACTGATACAAATTAGAGAGTTAGTTACCCTGTTTTGCTGGAATAATGAAACCCAGACATATTGGCTGCTTCCTCCAAAGCAGCCCTCCAGTTGGCC